GACGATTAACCGATAACTGGAACAGTGGTAAATACAGGGGTAATACACCGCCGGACTTACAGTCGCCCGTTTGGCCTATTCCACCTAATAACGCTCTGCTAAAGGTACCCTCACTAAGCGTCTAGGCAGTCAACCTACGATCTGCGACCGTATTACCGAGAGTGTAACGACTGGCCTGGCTACATATACTTCTCGCTTTGCTTCAAAGTACGCTAAACAGCTTCGCTCTTACATAATTATTTATGGTAATGTAAAATAATAACTGAAACAATCCTCACACACACCACTAACTTACCCTTGTCTCCAGAGATTTGTAGAAGTATTTCTTTCAAATATAGTTAGAAACATGTGAAATGCTTTGTTGACAGTTATATGAATGAAATAAAAATTAAAAGACTGCAAAAATTACTATACCAATATGCATAGTTATGTATAATATACTATTTAGCTTAATTTGTCAAAAAAGTAAGTATTTCTTAATTGTTAAAACAAATTTTTAATTGATATTTGAAGACAAACACGGCACGCTCGAGCGTTGTGTTAAAGAGAGCAAGTATTCGGACAGAAAAGAATAGCAAATGCCCTAAACTGCCAACAAATTGTATCAAACAACACAGGATCTACTAATCTTGAATAAGTATACAAATGTTGAAAATTTAAAACTGAAATTAATGAATGCTTTANAAATTAAAACAAGCGCACATAATTCTGTTACCGCAGGTCATACGTTCAAAGAATGTTTCAAAGAGGGCAAGTATTCGGAGGAAAAAGGATAACAAATCCCTTGAGCTTTTTGGAAAAATACAGATACTTTATAAAGCTATTTCTGATAATTTAAATTCCGAATTAAAATAATTTGTTACCCACTTAGAGAAGTGATATTTTCCGCACTCAATGCATTCTCAAGTCCGAAAAAAAAATCCATTGAACTAAAAAACGATAAATATGAAAATAGTAAAACTCACCGAATGACATTGAATGAGTATATCACATTTAAATCATCACCATGTCCCAATTTTGATTTCACGGTAGAAACTTATGAACTTTTCACACACAAACATGATTAATTTCCACGGAAAACAGGTTAGTATCAATGTAACTGCCCGCACAGCATTTTCTCTTCGCGATCTACTAAATTATAATGAAGACAGTGTTTCTTGTAAAAAGCAAAAGACTGGTGGCGCAATCGGTGAGCGTATTACGGAGAGCTTTTGAACTACTGCTCGAAGTAGAGACAAATGGAACGCTTTCTTCAAACTGAAATAATTTTCCACATCAGCCAAAAATGCCTTCGAAAATTTCGACTTTAATTCTGTACCACCGAAGAGGGCAATGTTTTGTGAATGGAAAGCGCTTTTCAAATTATAAATTTCGGTAAGTCAACAATACCCGTTTTTGCAAAAACAAACAACGCTTTACAGGGCTGTATTATGTTTATTTAAACACCGAATTAAAATCTACGAAATGAATTTTTAAAACAATCAAAAATGCCCGCCACAATTTCAATTTTTGTTATTTCGGCGATAACAGACGACACTTTACAGGGGTGTACTAATTGTAAGTATGTACATGTATTTATTTGAATCCGGTCCTAACATTTCAATATGCTCAATATGTTTTTCAGATTACCGTAAATTTCCCGCGGAAATTTCAATTTTGATAGAGATCCGCAAGTACATAAAAGTTAAGAAATCCTGCACTAGTATATTTAGTTGATTATTACTACTAATTACCTACTATTACCTGCTACGTATAAGAATAGACAAACCATAAAAATTTATAACTAAATGATTTAAAATCGCTAATTATTTATATTATAATTTTTTATCTTACTGAAGCTTTAGGGCCTCCCTCGCTCCTTCTGCCAAAAACAATAAAAAATTGAACCGCTTCATTCATTCCTTATGACTACTCTCGTAATAATTCTTGAATGCCCTATTATCCTTTTTTTTGTTTGAGAATGTAATGACTACTTTTAAAAAACAATTACATAATAACATTATATTTTCTGTCGTAGGTCCTATGCATAAAAGTAATTTTAATAAACCATAGGATAATTAAGTACCTAGTATGTAAAGTTTTTTTGGCTTAAACATTCTAATACGTATTTAAAACTTTTCACACATTTTTATAATGTCCAGTTTAAAACAAAGTACATGATTCATTCTACAAAGATAACGTTTATATTTACACACACACAAACACACACGGCTATCTCAAATGAGATTGTACATATCTGTTTTACGACAGGACGACCGAGTTATCTTTTCATAAAAAATGTCATTATTACTCTCCAGTTGATAGTTTTATTGATAAAACTAACGAAATAATATTTGCACCAAAGCATATTGTATAAGTAGAAATATACACATGTTTACAACTGAAGTCCTATTGATACAAAATAAAACCGAGATAACTATTTTTTAATACCTACCCGGTTTATAAAAAATATATGCAAATAATTAATTAATAATAGTTACCAGTTATATATATTTTTTTTTTCGAAGTATCTTTTTAAACACATAATTTAAAATTACGCGCGAAAAATAGTTAATTGCGCGCATAGGGAAGAAAGTGCGACATTTCCTCCTCAAGGTTGTGAATTTCCACCCGAGTAAAAGGTAGAGGTACGTTGGGCTTTCACCCTAAAATTAAGGATAAATTGTAAACTATAAGTCACCTTACAGACATGAAGAAGAGAGATTGTCGTGCGAGATCTGGGCTACATTTTTTAATTAGTCATTTATTATTACAACAACGTTTATGATTAACATTTGGAAAAAAGGAGCAAAAGCTGGTAAAGAATTAACGTCAAAAGATTCGATGGCTACATCAAACAAAGAAGACAAATGTGGCCATCTGTTCGGCGAAAGTAGTATTGTTAATGGTTAACAAAGTTACGACTAAAGAACACTACGTGAAATTTATCAACATCTAGAAATTCCCTACATGTAACAAAAAACGTACTAGGTCGCCATCTACTGAGCTATACTGAAAACTTGCCGCAGTGGTCAATTATAGGTACAGGATTTCTACTTGCAACAAGCAATCACAAATTTAATAAATAAGTAGATAATTTTAGAGTAAAATTAAAACAGTAACTATTTATAATTTCCACATTTGCTACTACACAGTATAACTTCTCATTCAAGAGTTTCAATAACAACATGAAACAATATATAACGTGAAACAAACAAGGTACTATGTCGCCATCTATTTGGCAAAAGTAGTATTCGTAATGTTTAGCAAAATATACATGCGAAAGAAAACTACGTGAAAGTCCAAGATTTCTACTTGGATCTATCACAAGTTTAATACGTAGGTAGATAACTTTAAGAAAAATTAAACCTGTAACTATTTATAATTTCCTTTAACATTTTATTGCCTTGACCACCAGATGGTTTCTTCAGGAATTATAAGTTTCAAAGCAAGAAACAAAACGTTTCAATTATTTTACATTAAAAATGTTTCTAGTAAAGTATGGATCACGATTTCAAATCTCATCGTTTATGATCAGAGATATATATACACTATATTTTTAAATTATCGCTGTTTCATATCAAAATTAACAGATACGCTTACCAAGGTCCATTTCAGAAAAATGGTTTTCTAACGGTACCACTTCTCAGTCCTTGGTTGCAAAATAACCAATCCATTATCCCCCTCTCCCTGAAGAACGTTTTCACTCTACTCTTCATCATACAAATTGTTTTTTCCTTATTAATTGACCATTAGAACCTGACCGTTTTTATTATGTCCTTTTTCTAAACTAAACTTTCACTTATTCAAGTTCGAAAACGTTTGCGGCTGATACAGTGCCACTCTATTATCCTAATCAATTCCAGTATTGCCATCAATTAGTCACATTTTGCTAATCAGTAATCACCATATATTTATTTAGTCTTGTTAAAAGTCACACTAAAACCACATGCATTGCTGCAAATTTCATCCGTAACCCTGGACAAGGGGCCCTAACAAGGTGCTATCAGCCGGAGCCAACTGACCCATGGTTTTTTAACGAGGTGTTACTCCTCGATCCCTCCTCCTTCCTTGTCCCTTGCACTACAAGGCCCCCGGCTTGGGACGGGCATGGCGGAGTTAAATAATATTATTCAACAACAACAAAAACCATTAATTATTTTAATTAATCATGGGAGGTCCGTTTTTCTTGTCTAGTTTACTTTTAATTTTACAACCTACCATACAAAACTTCACATCACTATTATACACGTCTGATAAAGATATCAAACTGTTGGTGGGATAAAACACTTTCATATAATCATAAATATTTATTTTTTATTAAAAACACTAGATACAATTAATAAACAACAGAAAAATTGAATCATATGATCTGCAATGTATAATAAGAAACAATTGAAACAACCCAAATTAATTCATTTGTTATTTATAAAAAAAAATCATTGTCTTTCATCATTTAACATCAGTGTGTTTATATAAAAGGAGGATGTTCGTTCTTTTTTTTTTGTTTAAATGTAGGTATAAGCCTTACTGAGCTGCTACTACATTACAAACTTCTACACAAAATTGCCTTTTTATAGAAATTATTTGGCTGGTTGATCTTATATTTTTAGCATCCATTTTTGTTTTGTTGGTATAAGTAGAAATTTACACAAATAGGTAGGTACCGAGATTGAAGCTGAGAACGAGATCTATTCACTAGACTCCTCATTTGCTACAATTTGAATGTCGAAACCACTTCGAGCAAGACCATAGAAAAAAGGGGGCTGAAGTAGTTTTGAGGTAAACATCCACCCCAAATGGACTTGACATAACTTACATTGCATAATTGTCCATGTATAGCTAGATAATAAATGCCATCATCAAATAAAACATATTGTTTATACACACCCCCACATAAATGTTTTTTCATAATTTTTGGATAATTATATTTAGATCAAAAACTTAACTTTAGAATTTTGTCAGTTAAATTTTATAAAATACATTACTAGTAACTTTCGTTTGATATGAAATTCGTTACCAGAATGGAACTGCACTGCAGTGAAACATCCTGGACTTATTTAATTTAGCGCATAAGCAAAACACTCACCCCGGAAACCAGCTGAACTCTTTCGAAGGTTGCCCCACCAACGTGAAGTTTTTCGCTTTAGAAACTGTCACCGTTTCGTATACGTAGCCACCTGAAGTACATAATAAACGAATTATACAAAAAAAGCATTCCAAATATTATATATAAAAGAAATTATGAGTGCTGTCAGCACAGGGGGTAAAGTAGTATTACGTAAATGAAAGTTAGTATCGGAAATTTCTTATGCTGAAGTGTACGATGTGTTGCATAACTATTTACAAAAAAATCCTTTAAATTTAATTTTTCAAACAATTTTTAACACAAATAAGTGATTAAAAAAATCGTTCACAAAAGTGAATGTCGACCACTCAAAGCAATGGTGCAAACAGTTTCGAGCTCATAGGGAGGAAGAACTTGTATACCTAATATTATATTAATTCACTTTAATTCTGCCTACAAAAGAGTTATCACCCTGTATATATTTCTGTTACTACATATCCCTACATTTTGCCATTTCGAATTTTCTTTTTTTAATATTTTTTATTTAGAAAGAATAATGTTTTTACTTTATTTTATTAATGCAAATTACTCTATACAATTTATCGTTTTCACTACGTTAATCGAAATTCATTTATTTAATAATTATATTGCATGCACTACATTACCTGGATTGCAGTAATTACTCTGCACACCATCTTTGGACATTGCAAATACATCACTTTGTTTAGCTATATCCACTTTACACGTCGCGCAGCAGATTATCCTTTGCTTCGAAAAAGAAAAAAAGAAAGTATTAATGTTTTTCATTGCTTACTCAATAACAAAATTTAAAATTATGAATTTACTACGTTGGGTATAACATCACACAAACAAAATAAAAAAAGAAGTCTCAATTGTTTCCACAGCATACTTAATTAAAAATTAGCAAGTATGACTAGGTTGATTGATATATATTGTAAATATCTTACCATTTTTAAATATTTAAACTCAAGCCGTAATCGTTCCAAGGAGGTATTCAAACGCATTAATTTCAGTCTCTCTTCATGGGTCAATTCAAAATTTTGTATAAACCAGTATGACAAAGACACTGGTTCGGAAGGTATATTATCTATATTTTGAAGTTATTTAAAATAATAATTTAACATGTATTTAATCATTATAACGGTATATGCCTACCCTTTAAATAAAAAGTTGACAGTCCATCTAATATTAATTTGACGTAATAGAAAAGTTCATTGTGATCATAAACCCACGCAGGATGGGCAAATTGAGCTAAATGATACCTAGAAAGCATACAATTAATTTAATATGAAGACAGTTTACTTTATTCTATTAATTCCTGTACTATGTGCATTTTTTTGTGCTTAGAGCAGTGTACACATACATACCTCCTATACTTATAATACTTTAGGAAGTCTTCGTAATTATCCACAACGCATTTTCGTCTTTTTCTTAAAACTAACAACTGTGTATCATTGATAGGAGAAATTATGGCTGGTTCAGCCAAAATCTTGACAGTTAATTGCTGAAGACGCCCTGTAAGAGGTCTCACCTCTCTTTCTGATAAAATCTTACATCTTTGCCTGCCTTTAGCTTTCAAATACAAGGTCTCTCTTTTTACAAAGGACTCAAATACTTCCATTGTAACCCCATACTTATAAATTCTTGAGCCTTCCTCACTGAAATTATACTCACTTTAAAATAATGGGTATTTGTTAATTGCTACCACTTACTCTGCACAGACTAACGCAAATACATGGGACTGAGCCAAATAAGTTTGCATTACATTTTTTTCCATATCGCTGCTCATTACCAAAGGCAATGTAAAGCCAGGTAAGACCAATGTACTTGTATGTATTGCCAACATGGTTTTGACTTCACCATCGTCATAAAGTGTATAGCCACTAACATTATTTAACTTCCCTAAATACTTAGAAAAAATATTACACCATACACAACTGTTACAAATTATGTAAGCCTGTCTTACCTTGTGTGTTGTTGGTAGATTTGTATCAAACTGAACTTCGCTTCCAGTGTTGGTAATGTCTTCTATAAAAAAATATATAACTTTTTAATTGTATGTCGGCGTGACACAATACCATCAAACTTTACAAAGGGAAATTACAGAAACATACCCGTTTCTGATTCGCTTAAAAAATCTGTGTCGTCTCCCCCAAATGGAACTGTATCGTCTCCCTCAAATTGAAGTTCCACATTACCTTCAATGTCATGTTCATTATTCTGCTGAAAATTATCGTCACCACTATCGTTCGACATTTTGCACTATTAAAATTATCATCAATTAAAAATTACATAAATTTTTAACACTTTTACTCCAACAATACTGCACTAAATTTGACATTTGAAGATTAGAGTCATATTAGACTGAAGGATAACAAACAACAATAAACATAAACAATGTTTTGACCAACCATCAAAACCAAAATTTTAGATTCATTCATCTAAAATGATCCAATAAATTAAAAATTAACTGTCATTCTCAATATACTTTTAGCATTAATTCTCGAATCTTAATTTTAAATAAAATCAAGCACATCTCAATAAGAATGGTGCATTTTCAAAATAACACCCCTATTTTCTAGAAATGGTGAAAAATGTAACGATTTCTAAAATCAATAAGAGATGCTCATTTGAACACACCTTTCAACTGACTAAATAAGTTAAGTACTCAACTAAAGAAGTTAAGAAAAAGAAAACATAACATAACCTTAAATATAGCCGATAACCTCAAACAAGAAAAATCCTTTTTATTTGCATATTATGTATTAATCTTTGTTGAAATGAATGCGGAAACTGTATATAATATTTCCTTTAAGAAACCAGTGTCACCAAAAGTATTTCGCGCAATACAAAACGTTGACATAGATGAACTTTCAAAATGCACAGAGCAAGAAATTCGTCCCATACTACCCTGTTTAGTACGAATGAGTCTTATTGCCCCTTTAGACACTTCAAAAAAGTGCTCCAAGCAAAAAATAGACATTTTAACTATAATTTCAGGCATAGAGCTTGTTAATTCTATCGTAGCACTTTTGTCCATCGACTTCCATGCACTTGAGTCTGATGTTAAGAAAGAACAACAACTAAGACAGAAATGTGGAACTTCTCTGAACGAATCGGTGCTTATAAGCGGTCTTCCTAACGGCTTGGCGTTGGAATATGAAAGATCAGATATGACAAGAAGACTCCGACTGGTTTTAAGTGAATTGTTATTTATTCAATCCCAAATTCAGGAGTCACTTGAAAATACCTCAGAACACGAATTTTACATGAAGCAGTCTGAATTGTTTGACAACGATATTTATATAGAAGAAATATCGGACGTTATTTGCATAGCTTTAGCTGAACTGCCAACGCTACTAAACGTTCAAAATATTATTGAGACACTTCTTCATGTTCATAATGGACCCGCAATCATTTGCAGGGTGGTGGCAAATTTCCCAGACTCATTTCGTGAAGGTAAGTTACTTTTTGTCAAAAATTTGTAATATTTAAACAAAAGTATATTTTAAGTATGCACAAGCCTGATCCAAAAAGGAGAAAAACAAGAAGAAAGTGCCCACAGTGCAATTAGACTGAATGCGATTTCAATGTTGTGTAAAATGAATCCATCTGAGGCACTTTCTGTAAGAAGTAAATGCGTCGAATTGTGTCGCATGCCTGCATTAGCTATCTGTCTGAGTTTAGACCATGCAAGCCGGTGTTCTTCTTCCCAACCTGAGGGTGACATGGTAGCATTTGTTTCTGGGTTGCTATTGGGTAATGACCAAACCGTAAGGTATAGATATCACTCTTTTTATTGCATTAATTGAAATAAATTAATTGTCTTTCTATCTCCCGTTAGAAGTTGGTTTGCTCTGTTTGTAAGAACTGGACAGAAACGAAAAGGCGAAGTCTCGAGTAATATTTTACAACAACTTCGGGACGATTTGCTCCGTCGTTTACAAACCATAATCCAAGCGTCCCTTGAAGGACAATTGCCGGACAGTTACGTTGTTCAAGCATCAGCCCTTTTGCGATTATATTGTGCTTTGAGGGGGATTGCGGGAATAAAGTAAACATTTTTTTTATTTCTTTCCGATTTAATGTAAAAATTACCCAATTTTGATTTAGATTTCAAGATGAAGAGGTAAATCAAATCGTTCAACTTTTAACTTCTCATCCAAACCCCACACCTGCTGGGGTCCGTTTCGTATCTCTTGGCCTTTGCATGCTGATAGCGTGTCCCTCACTCGCATCTCAGACTGAACACGAACGTAGAAGTATAGAATGGGTAAGAGTGTTTACTTTTCTAACTTCCCCTACAATTTATCTTGGTTTATATAGTCTCCTCCCACATCTTACTTAATCTAATCCTCCTTCGTCAACCTTCCTTTTCTGTCGATTTGAATTAATTTACCAACATCAGCTTATCCCCTTGTAATTTTCATTATTTTTTTTTTTTTCGTTTCTCCTTTAGGTTCAGTGGTTAGTACGTGAGGAGGCATATTTCGAATCTGCTAGCGGTGTTTCAGCTTCATTCGGTGAGATGCTTCTCCTTATGGCGATCCATTTCCACAGCAATCAGTTAAGCGCGATCTGCGACCTGGTCTGTGCCACTTTGGGCATGAAAATCCCTATCCGTCACAACAATATGACTCGTATGAAGCAGGTCTTCACTCAAGAAATCTTTACCGAACAGGTGGTGACCGCACATGCTGTTAAGGTGCCTGTTACCAACAATCTAAACGCCACAATGACAGGTTTCCTCCCTATACATTGTATACACCAGCTCTTAAAGTCCAGGGCCTTTGCCAAGCACAATGTCAATATCAAAAATTGGATTTATAAGCAAATATGCGCCAGCACAAGTCCCTTACACCCCGTACTGCCTATGCTCGTCGACGTATATGTTAACAGCATCGTCTTACCAAGTCTTAAGAACGCAGAGCACACTAACAAACCGTTGAGTGAAAACGAAATAAGAAGAGTGTTCAAAAGTTCCATTTTTGGACAATATTTCAACCAGAAGACATCCAGTTTCAGTTTGGACTTTGATGTAACATCATCAGACTACCAAGACATACCTGTCAATGAAAGCAGTTTAACCCCTCAACTCCTCCTCCTCTACTATCTCCTTTTGTATGAAGATTGCAGATTAACAAACGCTCAACAACTCACAGCTTCGGGTAGAAAAATTAAACGTTACAGTGCCGAATTTCTGTCTGAACTGCCCATCAAATACCTCTTGTACCACGCCCAGAAAGACCAGACCTCGTATTCCACCCTTTTCGGCCCTTTGTTGAAACTCTTGGCTACGCACTTTCCTCATCTAACTCTCGTGGACGACTGGTTGGACGATATGTCTTTCAAAGTAGATGAAAAGAGTCCACATATAAGCGAATTAAGTTTAGTAGAGGCGTTCGAAGAGGTCAAAAGCAATCCCTCAGGCCTTGCAAAAGTTTTACAGTCTTTGCTCAAAAAGGAGGCCATCGATATATGGCCGTTTGCAGAAGTTTTCACGCATTATGTGAAAGAACTACTAGACGAAAATGTGCCCAGACATTTGCAGGACCTTTACAAGGACGTGTGGCTAAGACTGAACACTGTGTTGCCCAGAAGATTATGGGTATTAACAGTGAAGAGTTTGGTAGGTGATTTGACGGGATTAGTTCGAGTTGATGTAGCTGAGGATCCGTTACAGGTAAGGTACGCAATGTACTACAGTTAATACTAGAAGCATTAAAGTTTGAAACTAACAATTTGGAAAGTGTAGGGCAAAGGTCTTAAAAACTGGTTTCTAGATTATGAGATGTGATGAAAGGGTGTTTCGGTGTGCCCCAATTTACGCCATAATATTGAGAGTGTTAAGGGCGAGTCTGGCGTCTTCAAGAAGTCAACTGTTCCAACATTTACAGACGAATCCAAAACTGGACCATATGGGGCAATTATTAAACGACAGTGAAAGAGAAGAAATGTGTAGGGCCTTAGTGGCAGCACAAGTAAATAATCGTAAACATTTCCTTAATAAGTTTGTTAGTTGTTGTATAAATGTTTAGGATAGTGATATGCGTTGCAAATAAATTGTTTACCTTTGTACTTTAAGGATAGTGCAGCTGTTCAGGTACTACTGGAAACATGCCTTGAAAGTGAACAAGACAGACTGGTCCCAGGAAGATTGTTGGCCTTACAAGAAGTACGATCTCTGGTTTGTTCGTATTTACATCAGTTGTTTATTGCTGACACCACTCTGGCTAAATTGGTACATTTTCAGGTAGGAGTACTCGATGCTGTAATTTAAAATATTCTTAACACTTTTCTATCTAAAACTGTATAGGTTTCAATTATCTGATATTATTTTTAGTATTAAGTACATTATGGTTCAGATTATTCAAACTATAATTTAAATTTAAGGGCTATCCCAGTGAATTAATTGAAGTAACCGTAAGGGGAGTGCCTTCTATGCATATCTGCCTAGACTTTTTGTTGGAGTTGATGCAGCAGCCCAGTATTAATAAACAGATTTTTGCCATACAGCTTTTGTCACATTTATCTGTTCAATATGCACTACCCAAGAGTCTTAATCTGTGCGTTACAGCTTTAAATCTGTTGTATGCCCTACTAGGAGGTCAGTAAATCTACATATTAGATTTTATTTTGAACTTTTCTTAGCCAAGAATATACGTATATTTCAAATTTTTAATAGGTCTTTCAAGTCCTCAAAGAATGAAATTATTCAAACCGATTTTGCCAGCCCTTGTTCGAATAAGTAAGGCGTTTCCCCCTTTAGTAGACGACATTACTCAACTTTTATTACAATTGGCGAAAGTTTGTCAGTCTCAGGCCTCTTTGACGTCCCATTTTAGCGTACACATGAACTGGGACGATGAACTCATAACCGAAGAAAGCAAAAGTTTGTGCGAGCTCGCACAAGAAACATTCAGTGAAATAGTAAGTCAGGCTGTGTTAAAAACTGACATTTATAATTAATTGATAGGTATATAATTTTAATTGTCTAAGAAAATAAATTTCTTTTTTATAAATTTTTGTTTTATTGTAAAGAAATAGTGGAACTGATTTTTAAATAATTTGGAACTGTTTATTTAAAAAATAATTTTGCTTTTCCGTTTAGTTCATATTATTAATAACAAAAAAAATAATAATAAATTGAACAAGATTAATTCTTACCCTACAAAATAATTTCCAAACTTGATTAGATATCAGGAACGTAAGTAAAGTTTCCTTTTGCTAAAATAATTTTCCTCTTTCTAAAGTCGTAACAAATTTGTGTCGTATCTTCGGCAAGGACTTCAACTGAAAATTAATCTCAAGTATTTACCATAATCAAATATAAAAAAGGTGAAGTAGAAAAAATCAACAGAAAACTTCCAATATTTCTTTTATGAAATGAGGATATTTCTGAGACTGTACAATCAAGTCCTTAATAATTAAAAAAATAACATCTTCAAAAACAAAAAAAAAATACTATTCGCAGGATATCAATTATATAAAAACTAGCTTACTAGCGACATGAATAAATAATAGAAAGATGAAGAAATGTACGCTTGTTCATCCAACATTTAAAGATACTATTTATGTTAATGTACAATCAATAATAAATTATTTATTCTAACAAACACCTAAAACAATACCATTAATTAAATAATATTTACAAATGGAAGATTGGAGTATTATTGCAGCATAACTTTGTAATTTAGTAATATGTACATGTACATCTCATCATTATTTCCTTTTTAATGACGTTGTCAGTCTTAGCGCAATTACAAAATTAGAAACCTTACAAACTGTATTATACACTAACTATGAAGACATTAAATTTTAATTAAAACATTTGTATGCTAAAGCTACACTATGCAATAATGTCAAAAATTAAATTTTAAATTAAAAAAAATTGCCATCGTCAAGTCACGAAAGTTCAACTCACTATGAAATTAAAAAAAATTAAATGCAAAATAACAAAATGTACAACTGGAATTTAAAGTATGTTTTAAGTCTGCAATAACGTCACACGTGTGCATAATAATCGACAGTAAAATTAAGAAATTCTGTAATTGAGATCACATATACACAGCGAAAAAATAAAGTATTTTGAACTGATTTTCTAAAAATTTGGCATATTTTAATTAAATAAAAAAGCACACAAATTTAGCGGGAAACTAACAAGACACCCTAAAAAACTAACAAGTATCAAGAATTTGGTGAATTATAATAAAATATGTTAATTTACTTTCCGAATTGAAGAGGCACTCAGGCATTAATTTTTATTTACGATTACTTTAGAGGTATTCGAAAATTTCCTAGAAAACTTAAAACTTTAATGAAACTCAATATACACTGCAATTCTTTTTCACTGGCGATTATCTTGACACACTCTGTACATTTACAGAAAAAGCGTTTCAAAACGGGTTCACTATGTAAACAAATAAATTTTTTAAAAGCAATAGAATAGTTGAACCAACGCGTCTCCAAATAAAAAATTAAACAAATAAGCAAAAACCAATTAACTTTATAATAAATAATGTTGATCCATGCACCAATATCCTGTTTAAATTATAAATATATGTGTGTTAATATACAAAATCATGATGGACATAACTATAAGTAATTGAATAATGTTGAATCAATCGGATCAGTCAATCAAATCGAATTAAACCAAATAAAATTAAAAAAATCATAATAATTAATTAATGTATGTATCAAAACGACAATGTTCAAAAAATAAACGTTTCATAATTGTAATCGATTACGATCACCACTTGTATCACTTACATTTCTATGACACAATTGTCCCAAACGTAGAAAAAAATACCAAAGATACAACCTCAACAAAACGTTCCGGACCGCGCTGTAGTTAACATTTTATAAGATGATTGGCAAAATAGTAATTTCCTGACACAAATGACATAGTAACATAGTACGAAGATAAAAGAACATCAATTTTTTCTTCTTTCTAGTCTTGTTTTCTTTGAAATTGATTCGTTTCACATGCGTAGTCTTTAAAGTTTCAATATTTATTTAATTACCTATCCCACTTTATTTTTTCGTTCTCATCATAACCGTGTAAAATTCCTTACAAACGTTCTTAACATTTAGAACTTCCATTATGCTCTTTGGGACAGATGGGTCTAGCTTTTAAAGATCTCATTGTCAAATATTTCGTCCCATATGGGCAATTACCCTGCAGTCTTTTAGATTATTCAATATAAATTCCCTCTGTCCCATAATGATTAATAAATAATCTACATTCTAATTTTTTTTCATTTCCCTATTATCATCCTTACATGAGTTTGTTTTATTATCCAATTACCTGTCTCATGTCATCTATTAATCTTCGTAACCGCCTTAAATCCTTTGACAAGTTTACCCAATTAAAGTCTTTGTGCCCTACTCATTTTTGACATCCTTTCAACGTTTCCAATTTAATCCCAAAAAATCCCAAATAAAATCACAATCATCATTCGGTCCCAACCCGATACCAACACCCAAATATATCACATCACATAAAATCTTTCTACTTCTACTACGGCGGTGTCCGACTTCTATTATTATTGTTCGACCGGTTATGGTTCCGATTATTTCTGAAGTTCCTATTTCCGTTTCGATTGTTAAAGTTCCGCCCCCGTCGCGACCTGTTATCACGTCCATATCCCCTCCCATCGTTTCTATTTCCACCTCCCCTAAATCCGCCTCCGTTGCCACCGCCACCACCTCCCCCGCCACCTCCTCCTCCTCCGCCTACACCTCCTCCACCTGTTCCTCCTGCTGGACCGACATCTCCATCGGGATAATAATCTTCTACCCCTCCAGGACCATAATTGGGACCTTGATGAGGCGGTGGGAAGTCTAAGGGTGCGTTACCCAAAAGTCCTCCCTGACGTGGATCAAAATTGAGCTGAAAATCGTTGGGGGGAGGGACGGGACCGAGTAATCCTCCATGAGGTCCCATCGCGGTCGGATTTTGCGACATCATATTGGGACCTACGTGCGTAAAATTCGTATTCTGTCCCATCAAACCGGGAGGCGGGACATTGGTTCCCATTATCGCCTGGTTAGGGTTTTGTCCCATCAGGAGAGGGTTGGGACCGAGCATTGCAGCAGGATTTGGGCCCATCGGAATGTTGTTTATGTTGGCAAGTATATTCAGTGCGCTACTGTTAGGGATGGATGCTAAGCTCGTGGGGACTGATACGTTAGGTAATAAACCCAAATTGGACAACAATCCTGTCAGTACTGGATCGCAACTACCACTTCCATCAGTCTTTGCAGCTAATTCCTGATTCAAAAGCAGCTTCTGGTTGCTCGTGAGGCTCTGGTAAAACGCGGAACTCTGCAGGACGTTCAACTGTTGCGAGTATGTCATCTGGGGAGTTATTGTATCCGTTTTGTTTTCTTCCATTTTTCGCCGACGAGGATCGACTCTAAGCTGCGTCACCTTAGGACTCTCCTTGGGACTAGCGGGACTCTCTTTCTCGTCAACGCTCAATCTGAATATCTTACGCAGGCGCGGATCTCCAGTAGTATGGGCGTCTTGCACCGTCAATTTTAATCCAGTGTAGTCAGGTTGTGGAATATCGACTACCATCACTTTCCATTGTATGGGAGGGTGAGAATTGATACTGGCATCGACTTCAGTTGCTGGGGTGTAGTTCTGAATGGCTTTAAATGGCAAGTTCAAGTTGCGGAGATCAATATCTGGTCGCATACCTTTCACAAAAATATTAATTGTAATTTATTAGTTATATTAAATAATACCAACCGAACTTACCACTTCTCAAGTCCAAATCGCCCAAGGGAGTTCTTAAGTCCGTGTCCTTACCAACGTTTCTCAAGTCCACGTCCTTTTTCGCGTTCTCAATTGACAAACTGCCCTGCTCGTATACACTGAGTTTGGTCTCTTTCAGCTTGCTTTCGGTCGATGGAACCCTGGAACGTCTCGGGTCTGCGGGTGATACCTTGGGTGGTTCCGTAGTATTAGACGAGTAGGAAGCCAATCTAGGGTCTTTAGCAGGTCCAGACACTTTTGCTACGGTCTCCTTAGGACTCATGGCGCCTTGACTGATAGAACTTAAAAGCTTGGTCACTTCTGCAGATATATCTATTTTCGAGAGATCGCCCAACTTCTCCATTACCTCATTTGGTTTAATTTGAGGAATTAGAGAAGTAGTCGGTGATGGAGACCTTTCTTGTTTTTCCTCCACTTTGGACTTGGTCTCTTCGATGTCATCTTTTATCGTTAACCTGTAGATAATAATAGAAGGTCATATTAAGTCCATTGTTAGCTTTATAAATTTTTCAAAAACTGACCTGCAATCGTCATCGTCATCTGAATACCAGTCCACGTTAGCGTCATCGTTGTCGTCATGTTCAAGACCCTGGACGTTGGGTACTGCATCCTTTTGTTGCGCCTGGATCCGTAAGAACAGCTCCATTTGCTTCTTGGGGAGATTGGGAGGTAAAGTTCCACCGAAACCGATTCGAGTGTCGATATCTTGGCTCGTAACACTTCCGTCACTATTTAACGTCCGACTATCGACATCTCCCTTAGTCATATGTTGTCCACCTCGATGATCTTCGTCGGTGACTATTTCGAGGTTGGATTCTTCACCTAGATCGCGATCGTCTCTGTCGCCGCCACTCCTTCCACACCAAAACGACATTTTTATTAAACAATAAAAATAGAATAATCATGCGGATTTTTTCAGAAGTATTAACCTCCCACCACCTCTACAATTCTACTCCTTGTCAGAACTTGTCTTACCTTTCGACCGGCATGCTGTTAAAATGCCTGATGTCAATATCCTTTGCAAAATCGATCTGTCTCGTATCTACGTCTAAAGGGGTATAGTTGGGGGGTGGTCTACGGATATCCACATCCTTGGTATCGAAGAAACTTGTCGCGTTCCTAATGTCCACGTCCACCGTGTTCCTGATGTCGACGTCCTGACTAAACATCATTGAAGTGTCTCCCACCTTAGGGAAGGTAGTTGTAACGATAGGCGGCGGTGCAGTCAAGGGAGGAATGGAAAGAGGCATCGCCGCCAAATGGGGAGGCATTGTGCGCATATCTACGTCTCCATTACTAATAATAACAAATTAATAATTTAAATAAAAACACTTGCAATCAGCCAAAAACAAGAACTAGCCTGGTAACTCTCATGTCCTGATCTCGTTCTGCATAGAAACCTTTTATCCTCAGGGCCATCTGAATCTGCTGTTCCTGTAAAGCTGCGGCAGTTTCGGCAGGATCGGCGTCTTGCCATCTCGATTTTCTCTCTCTATTTCCCGATTTTTCAGTCTTCTCTTTTTTCTCTTTAGGTTCTGGATCGGCAAAGAGAAAATACAAAATCTTTTACAATATTACAAAATTTATTCTAACCCAAAACTACCACCAACAGTACTAAACCATTATTCAGTAATAACTAAAAATTAAGTCCCTTTAAAATATTTTTTTCTTATGAGAAAAATTGTTTATTGGTTAGACTCCTAGTTGGTTTTTATATTTTTGTTTTTTTGACTTACCTCCGTCGTTTTGCATATCGCCAGGCATCGCAACGCTGATATCGAAAAGGGACGGTATAGTGTCTTTGTCATCATCACCTCCGGATCCTCCGCCCCCTTCGCAACCATACGTCGATTCCAATGTTTTTTGCGTCTGATTGATCATGTTAATAGCGCCATCTCTTGTTAATCTAGGAAAATCGCCCAAAATCTCTTTCGGGGCAGTCTCTATATGTTTGAACAAAATTTGCTTTAGACCTGATAGACAAAAACAGAAATTGCTCTCCTTAGAATATTGTATTTTGTCCACGTGTCACTAGACACAGAATGTGTGCATTGATGACCCAACTATTAATTAGCATGAAAATGTGATGGAAGTACGATAAGATGAAAAACAAACATTTTTGTTATTTAACCATTTTTTTTCACTTTCAAAAATTATTTAATATTTCGCAATTATTTTAATTTTTAATATCCACCCCTGTGCATTTGTTAGTAGCAGCCATCAAAGATATGTTATTTTTAAAAAACAGAAAATGTAGAAAAACAACAATCTGAAGTGTATTTTTTTGAACATGAAAAGCACTCACCTCCACTGAGTGGTTTCCCGTGGGAGAATTTACAGTTTTCTTCCGCGAAACACTTGAGGCCCGTGTGATAAAATTTACAGGGGAATTCCGAATGCATATAGAGACATTTGTCCCCTTTGGCACAGCAGTCCATCAAATAAAATTTGCATAGCTCAAGTTTCATTGGAGGCAACGCCTCGTGGGAATAGGTACAGTCGTCACCCTGAAGAAGAAACAACACAAACAGGTTCAAAACGGGGACATATTTACCTGATACGTCAAATAAAAATAATTAAATCCTGATTTTATGAAGGCTGTTTTTCTTTGCGGTCATACTGAATGTCTTTGACAGCTTTATTTTAAATAGTATACCTTCTACTCTCTGGTATTTTTTAATTCTATTTTGAAATCAAATGCCATCTTGTTTTAGGCATTTATTAAAGCCCTTTAATTTTTATAGGTAGCTTAAACATTTTTTAAAGGCCGCTCAAGAATCTTTTAATTGAGGTAATAACTGGAGAATCATTTACTTACTCCAAAATAAACCAATTTTTATACAGAATCGAAAAATAAAATAGGTAGGGTACAATCAAGACGTAAACACTTCTATCTACAGTTTTCTTTTTTATTGAAACTTACCTTGTGACATTTCCCCTGCATATAAAACACGCAAACACTCTGCGCATCTTTCTGTTGTGGTTCGGGCGCAGGCGCCTTTTTATCTTTGTTACGGTCCTGATTGTGTTTCCGGTGTTCGCGTCTATCTCTACTGTTGCGTCCACGCGATTGTGAGTTTTTCCGGTTGTTATTGTACTTCCGATCCCTCTGACGTTGCTGCTGTAGCTTTTCGCTCCCGCCCTTATCGTCATAGATCCGGTTTAGGGAGCCATCCGACTCGGTACCCTCGTCGTTCTCGGATCTAGAAGGTGACCGCGACTCGAACGGTGGCGTTCTGTTGTTAATGCCGATGCCACCACTGCCATCTCGTGGCGAACCGAACAAAGGCTTGTTGTCAACTGCCCTCAAACCCGGAAAGTCTTTGTTGTCGTCTGAGGGGTAACTGCCGTCGCCTTTTGGGGACTCCATGCGACGTTGTTTCGACTGCAGATAAAAGTTTTTTTTTAAGTTGGTATATACCGACAAATGTATTATGTTTACCTTCTTTTTATCTTTGTCTTTCTTTTTTCGTTTTTTTCCCCTTTTTATTTCTTCCTTTTCATCGTCACTTGTCTTGATAATGTTGCCCTCTTTGTCCTTTTGCTCCTTCTTCAGCACGTTGGCAATTGCCTTTTCTATGTTGCTTGCAAAATCGTCGACTAAAAAATTAGCAATAAATTAAATAAAACAGTGAAACACATAAAACGCAACACTCCCCAAAAAATATATACATTTTCCAAAATAAAGGAATTTTTAAACATTTACGCCCTGGACAAGAAAATTTATTTACCTAACACCCCATGTTCCCTTTTGTACTTTTCCCTCTTTTCTCGTTCCATCCTTTCCAGTTTATGCAAATACATGACACTTTTCTCAGCTTCTGTAAGATGTTTTCCGCTCTTGTCATCCCCGCTACTACCTCTCCTCTCCTCTCTTCGTTCGAACCTCCACCTGTCCCTGTATTTCCCATGGAATCGGCTGTTGGGCGATCCGAATTTACTTCCATCCCCAAACTTCCCTTCGCCACCAAACTTACTATGTTCGGAAGAACGATGATCAGTCTCAGAATTACTGTTTCCTTGGGAGTTGTGAGTGGGGGAAGTTTCTGGTAGTTGCTGCTGCTGTTGTTGTTGAGGGTTGTTTTGAGGAGATTGCGAGCGAGCTGCCTCATCTTTGGGTGGAATCTCTTCTTCTTCATCGTCGTCTTCAATCTCCCCATCTTCGAGATCCTCATTAGAAGAAGGCAGGGGTTGAGATTCCGGGGGTTCTTGTGTTTCGTTTTGTTCCTCTGCAAGAGGAGAAGCCTCAGGCTTAGCCTCTTCCGTTTCCATACTGTCGAAAAAGATAGCAAATCAATGAAACCTATCACAAAAATATTACATAATACATAGAAAAAAACCACCCCGTATGTATTAGGCTTTGCTTTTAGTACCACAAGAATATATCACCCTGTATGTATATAGTTTTAGTATTATTTTCTTGGTATACAGGTGTAACTCAAAAAATTTTAATACGACTTAAGTGTGGCTTATTTTTTACGTCTAATGAACAGTTATAGGATTAGCCTACTATGATAAAATATAATTTTGAAACAATCTGTCTCATTATTTTCTCTGAATTGATTCAAATCGTAACAAAGTTTGAACACGTACGTACAAAATCGTGTACCTAAAATGAACAAAGCAGAAAATTTCTTGTCTTGTTATGTGCCTTGCTTTCAATCTAGAAAAATGTTTACATTAAAGAAAATGTATACAAAACGACCCACAAAATGATTCAAAGATTAATAGGTACATTTTATCTAAATCAAAGTAGCTACAGAAAGGGAGGGGGGGTCTACAAAAACTTCTTTTCCATTGACCATTTTCTTCCTCATCCTTCCAAGCTGTTTTTTTTTCTTGCATCTGCTATAAAGATTTAATTTTGGATGAAGCTACCTGATACTATTCCATTTTAAAGTTGAAACATATTTTTAATATTTCTTGACCGCACCTCGTATATAACAGGAGTCAACATTCAAGTAGAATTTAAAATTTTAGTATATTTGTAGCTAGGTCTACAAGAAATGTTTGCTCGATATTTCTTATCGGCCAACCAAAAACCTACTTATTATTAGATAAACCAATAAACCTTACTAGTACTGAATGTCTACGTTTCGTGTCTGCGTTTAAAATAGGCTGATGCACAAAAGTGTAAGAATAAATCTATTAACTAAAAAGATATTTATACCAATTGTTAATAATTTTAAATGTAAGTTCATAAATAATGTACATGTAATCTTTGAACCATTAAAGTATGATCAAATTAAAGTGTGTAAGTAGCGAACAAGATAGGCAACCATACTAGTCACAAAATATGGTCGTAAGATTATCAATATTTACTTCCAGACCTCTACACCTAAAAATAGCTTTGGCAATGTCATGAATGACGTCACAGCAGTGCTCAAAACGCACTTCCACGAGGACAAAAAATTTTATTGATAAAAAATGTTAATTATTATTTATATCTGTCGAAGCACCTCGTTTTTATATAATATTTAATTTGAAAACACGTTTTCTGCGTGCTAAGATAACAAGGAAGAAAAATTTTCGACGTACTTTCGGACGATAAAAAATTTAACGGGAGATCCACACTATTTTACACAACTGAATCTAATGTACCTACATAAATATAAATTATTTATATTTATAAATTATTACGTCGTTTTGGAACGCAGCCATGACTAACAACATGGCGGAGCCAATGTATGAAGCCCTTTCTTGTTACTATTAACAATTAGCAAAAGAATGTTAAGAAATATGCTAACATTATGTTACGACCGTATTTATATGTAATTTTAATTAGTTAATTACCGTAGTACATTAAAAAAATAAGATCGAAGTTACCTTGTAACGACTCGGGTGGGGTTTTCATAAGAAACGTAGTAGCATGCCATGTCAATACGATATTGACAAGCAACATTTTTAGAAAAAAAAATATGTCAAAAGTGGATGCCTTTTTGCATAAAATAATCGATTTCGATTAATTTCATTGCAAACGCATCGATCAGTGGTAAGACAGGGAGGTTTTTCGAAGACCAAAACGTATATCGACCACGCCCTTTTTGAAAAATCCTACCAGCTGTGCTGGAAGACGCGTACACAAAATTTCGCGTTTTTTTTCCATCGATCCTAACATAATTTTAACATATTTCTGGCTTCGAAACGGAGTTTCGTGTAATTTCTGGCGTAAAAATAATGCAAACCTTTTAATATCACATACGAGCGCCATTTTCAAATCTAATTTTAGATCACTAGGCAGGAAAATAGTATTGAAATGGCATAGATTTCACTCATTCACTGTTTAAATCTGTCCTACTATGTACAAGGGACAGAATTCTAATTTTCTTCGCATTTTTCATCTAATAAAACCAGCTACCCGACTGTTCTCTTAAGCGAGGTGATCACAAATGAAATGAACTTTCCCTGGAATTTAGCTATAGAACCGTCGCCCAGAAACAGCGAATCAACAACCAGAGTGCGACAATATGATCCAATGACGTGAGAGAAAGAACGAGACGCAACGATTACGACCTCGATTTAACGGAACTGTACAATGTACTAAGGAATGCCGTTGATTTCAACTTTCCATTCTATCGATTTCGGACAATAATCGCCTTAAAGTACAGCCATATAAGGCTCACATCGACTACTACGACGTTTTCCGATTTATAATTTTGATCGCAATTGTTTCGACATTAAACGAAAAATAAAATAAAAATAAGTACAACAATAGATAATCTCGTTGTGTTTCCTGCCTGTCCAATTTGGGTTTGCATCACTTTTTTACCAAGCGAAAACAAGGAGAAACTTACGAACTTCAGTTTCAGCTTCGATTATAGATTAATAAGACGAGTGTTAGGTATTTGATAAGAAAAACTGATATACTTTTACCCTATTCCGTCACTTGTACATACATGCTATTTGTAACTTTCGTCAACCGATAAAATTAGCTCTTGGCTGTGACAAATAAAAATTTTATTGAACGATGCCTCTAGCGCCCTCTCTGTTTCAATCGATGAAACTCATCAAACTATTTACTTTGTACAATAGGTGGCGCTCACGTTATTCTAAAAGAAAACTAATGCTACAAGTAGTAAAATTTTCTACCGAACGTTTTTAAATTTTCGCGCCTTTTCTAAAAGGTCAAGTTTAACATGCTATGAGTTAGACACTGCGCAGGAAATTCCATTCGAGTTTCAAACAGGTTTTCTTTCATTTTTACTTAAAATTGGCGAATTTTAAAAAAGTGATATTAACCAAGTAACGGATATGGTGCGTTAATTTCAAAATAATTGGCATTTTCTAGGGGTGAAATTAGTGAAAACAGTGTATCAATGGTGTAATATTAAAACCTTGTAAGAATTTCTATTTACTGTGTAAATATGTATGTTTATTCGTAATTTATTGTCACAAATATCATTTAAGCTAGATATAAAAAATCAACAAAGAAAAACCAATTTTGTCGTCGTAAAAATAATTTACCAAAAACTGCAACATAAAACACAAAGTATTTTTTCTATTCGCCACAGTTTGTATTGTACGAAATTCTACAACTATTTAACCTAATAACCTTTAATATCTTTAAGGTCACACAATATTATTGATAAGAAATAAATGAATTAATATAAGTACCAGGTCAAATAATTCTTAAAAAAAAATTGGTAAAAAACTGTTTGCTCTAGTAAATATACGACAAAGGTTATTATCACTATTTTACGAAACCATAATGAGGTCAATTTAAGTTTTATTTCGTATCATTTACCTAATTTTCTCTCAAAAGTTGAGGATGGTGAAATAAATACTTAATTATTAAAAACTACTTCTTTCTATTTTTAAAATAGAGCATAATTTTATAATAGATACAGAAACTAAATATTATACCAGACTTTAAAAAAACTGCGCAAAATTTTAATATATTAATGTGTTTTTCAATTTAAATATTTATCGTCTGTAAATTGTGTTTCGTTGAATATAAATTATCTAATTTTGTGGGGAAAGTACCGAATTTACTAATGGTAAGCGTTCAAATTTTAAGTACACTTTTTACTAATAGTAAAACACACACAGGAAAAAGAAAATTCTATACTAACACGGCAATAATAATGCATACTGTCATAACTTCAAATTAAATTACTAGTCCTCCAAATGTTACCTTTTAATATACAGTAAGACCCACAAGTTAAGAGATATTGTATGGAATCCTTTAAAAAATTTAAAAACGGTTTGATTAATTTTTCTTATTAATACTATAAATTTAAAAATAATTTAGGGGTCAAACACAATGTTTTTTTGTAACTATACAGTATGTCACACAAATACAAAAAAAAACATTTGAATACAGAAACTATTTAATTTTCAATGGATTGCTTTACAGCTGGTCTTTTCGATGTTTCACTTCATTTATTGTTATCGAGTACTAAGTGTGTTAAAATTTTCCAAAATTTCGACTAGGCTTTCACACGAAGATTCCGTTCACTTTTGAATCTACACCGTAAATGCCATTACATTAAGAATTACGGCTACAACATATTTCGTTTTCCGATCGCATTTTGTCCATAATATTATTTATATAATTATTACTGGTCTTGTTGGTCAAGAATTCTGCTCATTAGTGAAGAGTACGACCCAGCCAAGGTTGTTCTGTACAACTTGAACCCGAGTCAACAAAATAACATGTAAAAGAGAAGGAGAGACGACGAAAACAAAAAAAAGTTCTTCCATCAGTTAGTACAGTTTTAGAAATCGAACCCAAAACGCGTGTAAAAAGTTTCAACAATCAAAACAAAAAACTCGCGACAATTTTTTTCTACCTTTCAAATATCCAGACGAAAAACTTTTTTATTTTTACGTAATTTTTATATTACTGTTAAGTATCGAAAAAAAAAAATAATAATAAAATAACCGAGTTCGTTTCTGATTCCTTGAAATAAATATTTCTCATTATGACCTGTGACTTTACGAAGATAATTTAAATATCATTAAAAACGGAATTCGACGCTCATTTTCGGTATACTGCTGTTATTATTATGTTATTTGTTTAGTGAAGTGTGCCTTGTGTTTTTTAAATTACAGTGAGAGCGATGATCAAGTTGGCATGTGTCGTGGCGGTTGTGCATTTACAATTGTTATTTTTTACGAACAGTGCAAAATCACAGGAGGTGTGGGAATCGCCCTGTCCCGAGTTCTTTGCGTACGAACCTAGAAATGACCAACAGGTCGACAGGTGGTTTGGTACTATATCCCTAAGGACCCGGGAAGAATTACACGGCGTCTGGCTTAGGGTCATTTTCGACAGGAAAGCTGAACTTTTGGGGGTATGTTGTTTTTTTTCTTAATATTTACATATCTCAGTTGCCCTTGAAGCTAATAGAATACAATGACACAAACACCCTGTATATATATAACTGACTATTGTTGTCTATAGGCAATATTTAATGAATTTTTGCTAGCCCGATTTTCTATTACTTAATTTTGCAGCTTGCAGCGATTTATTTACATAGAAATATTACCAAAAATTTAATAAACATATTTTAAAAAAATCCCTCTTTACTAGATCTTTCAAATGACATCCCACATGAACGAAAATTTTTTTTGTATGTACAGTATGTCCCACAATATCAGATGGACAATATTAAAATTATCTACAGTCATATTTACAGCTAATATTTACATTGTTTAGGAATGTTGTACATAATACAGCTTCACAATATATGGTAAATGATATTAGACTGTCAAATTCAAGTAAATTATTAATTAATAGGAATAACAAGCCGGTTCGATAAATATTGATACAATTGAGACTGACGATGAGACTAATGGTCAGACTATTGCATACCTTATTATTATTAGTGTTATTGATTTACATTTAGTATCTGTGAACAAATAAAATTAATCTGTTTCTAATAACTGAGCAACAATTATAATAAATGTAATCCATAAAACGGATTACATGTTATGTATCACCATTGCAATTCGTAGAAAGTTACATAATGCTTAACTGAATAATAAATTGTTGTAGATTATCTATTATTCAATTACCATACCATAGCATTCACTTTTTCTTTTGTTTTTCTAAGAAGTGATACGGATATTACTAAAGATTTTTAATACTTCCTAAATTAAATCTGAAATTGTTTAAAAATGCAAAAACGTAGCTTCAAAATTTACGTACCTACGTTATGATTAAATGAAAAAAATTCTGTACAGAAATAGGTAAAAAATGAAAGAAAGAGTGAGACTGTCGAGTTTCCTGCTTCATACAGTTTTAAAAAGTCTGCATTTATTCCAATGAAAAAATTGATAATTCCTATGTAAAATGTTGGGGAGCATTTAATTTTTTCTTTCTTCTTATTTCGAGCAATATTTTTGTTTGTTTATTTATAATCACGTTTTTGACAACAGCTCCAACGATTTCGATTTACGGGGTGAAAAACTGTTCTATTTAGATCTCATTTCTGAGAACAGAATTCGTTTTCTACGTGTTGTCACGCACAAAGTAACAGACGGTTTTGTTACTGATAATTTCGTCACAAGTCGTTTTCTGTAAATAGCCCAATGGTTAGAACGTATGTCCATCATGCCGGAGTGCGCGAGTTCGAATCCAACAAACTATTTTAGTTTTTTTTTCTATTGTACGTAGATCGCCCAGATGTTGGATTTTTAAGTTTAAACCATACTTTATTAACAAATAGATCATAAAAAATACGTTGTCCCCTTTATCTTCCACATTTGCAATTCCCAAAAAGAATAAATATTATTTATTTTTGTGCCATCTCAAAAAATTGGGCCTAGTTACTACATAAACTAAAAGTTATTACGATAACACTATTGAAAAAGAAATTGACGACCAGGCGCCATTTACATACAGAAAATAATGAATTTAGGCACTTTCAAAAATTTCCACGTATTATAATGAGCTATAAAACGTCTCATCTTCAAATATGTAAATGTATGAAAAATATGATACTAAATTACTAAATGTAAAAGAAATGTAAATACGGGAATTCCCAGATTATAAAGGCAATGTAACAAAAGCAGTTAGATGTATTCATGAGTAATCAATTCTGTTGAAATATATTTTGTGACAACCAAATTAATTAACGAATTATTAACAAAATGTTATTTACAACTAACTGCTTTTTCTTTTGGTTGTCATAAGATTGACTATATAGGGCAGGATTTATTACATATATACAGTCTATTTCAATTTGTTAGAATTGTGACCTTGAAGAAATCTGCGCGAAGATAGAAAGAATACACACTAGGCGTGAACAAGACAGAAGTAGTTGGAACAAGCTTGAACGAGCAGAGCTCTCGATGGGCGGTCTTACGAGATCGGTTAGAACTGTACAGTACTAGACGAAAATGTTTAACAATTTCTTAAAACAAAAATGTATATAAATTAACAATAGAAAACAAAGCAAAAGTTTTATAGGTGTGTAGAACGTTAAGTTAATTTACTTGTTATTAATTATTTTTGGCTAAATATGCTTTTAAATGAAGCATATTCTTAAATTTTAACGAGGCAGTTTAAATAATTTTGCAAATGGTACTGTACACTTTTGTCTAGTTCTCGCTCGGTGATCGGTGGAGAAATGAGCTCCGCAGACAAATATGATTGAATTTGGAATTATGCTGCGGCGCATCCTAATAAAGGGAAGGGGCATATCTCTAACCTCTTGAAACGACCAGCAACTGTGTAGGTTATTAAGGGTCTATGGTTTGTAGAATAAGAACAAGAAATATTTGCCATAAATCATTAAAATGGTCCACCCTGTATACATGTTTATTTTTATATTTTATAGTGAACAATTCGAATCATTTTTGACGTAAAAAATTTCCAAACATTTTCCGAAATCCGGTATTGTTTCGTGTCCTATTATTTCACCTTTTTTTTTTTTCGCTTTTCCTATGACACTGACGTAATATGATCCGCAATGTGTACATATAAGTACATACTTTCAACTTTTTGTTACCTCTATCATTCTAATTGTTCGAAAATGAAGTTGTATTGTATGAATATTATGTAACTAATATGCATAATAAGCATCAACGAAAATATCTATTAGCAAGATCATTACAACAAACAGGAACAATTCGTTTTTCGTTTCGAAAAATGAAAGACTTTTATCTTCAGTTATTCACCATAGTTTAAAGAAATTTTCAACCTTTATGGAAATACAGTTTTTTATTTTTATATTTGTTCCTAATTTATCCCAACATAATATTGACTTGTTTGTGTTTTTGTTTACGAAATTGCAAAAATATTTGCAAACAATTGCATTGTATAAGCCAATCAATATTTGGAGGATAATATTTACTTGGATGGAATCTCAAATAAATATAAAGTTGTAATAATAAATAAAAATTCCCAGTTATTTTATCAAAATCTATAGAAAATAACAATTCACTTATCAGCTATTACTTTGGCTGAATCGTTTAGACATACATATTTCAATTTAAAAGATAAAATAATTTGATAATTTTAAAAGAGAATTAGATAATTTTCGCATTAGTTTAACGATAAAAGAATACTGCACCTAAATATGTATAAGGCCTGTACTTTACTGGTCAATATTTAAATAACTATACGTATAAACCGAATCAAAATCGAATGGTTTGTTGTTTAGTCATCACGTCATAGATCGACCCTCACATACAATTAATTACACAACTATATGTGTTTTATGTAACGTTTCGGTTTATTTAACCATCTTCAGACTTTTGGAGAGTTACTGCTTGTACACAGATAGTTACTGCTCTACCTAAACATTCAGAACTACAGCCCATTTCAATTTGTTAGAATTGTGACCTTGAAGAAATCTGCGCGAAGGTAGAAGGAATACACACTGGGCGTGAGCAAGACAGAAATAGTTGAAACAAGCAGAGCTCTCGATGGGCGGTCTTAGGAGATCGGCTAGAACTGTACAGTACTAGACGAAAATGTTTAGCAATTTCTTAAAACAAAAATGTATATAAATTAACAATATAAAACAAAGCAAAAGTTTTATAGGTGTGTAGAACGTTAAGTTCATTATCTTGTTATTATTTTTGGCTAAATATGCTTTTAAATGAAGCATATTCTTAAATTTGAATGAGGCAGTTTAAATAATTTTGCAAATGGTACTGTACACTTTTGTCTAGTTCTCGCTCGATGATCGGTGGAGAAATGAGTTCCGCAGACAAATATGATTGAATTTGGAATTATGCTACGGCGCATCCTAATAAAGGGAAGGGACATATCTCTAACTTCTTGAAACGAACAGTAATATGCAGTTGTTCAACATGATAGAAAGTTTAAAAATAAGTTAATATCTGTGTACAAGCAGTAACACTCTAAAAGTCTGAAGATGGTTAAATAAACCGAAACGTTACAAAAACCATATAGTTGTGTAACTAATTGACCTCCGCCCCGGAAAAAACTACATAATTTAATAGTAACGGTCAGGAATCTAACTTAAATTCATAAAAACTAAGTTACACCACCCTATTTTTTTTTAGAACTGGTTCGGCGACTCTCAAACAAAAGACAACATGGAGTTTGTAATAAAAAATCCGAGCTACACCCTGGTCCCCGGCCCTCCGGTTGCGGTCAGGTTCTTCGTAAAATACGACCCCAACCAAACCCCACCCCGGCTCAGCATGATCCGCATGAACGGTCGCACGATATGCGGGGAAGCAGCGACCGCAGCACCCCTGGACTTCAACACCCTGCACATCAGCAGACCCGCGGACAAAAACGAAAACAATTTCAATTTTAACAACAACAACGCTCAATCGGAAACGCAAAATGCAAATAATAACAACAATAATCGACCAGTACAGGGCGGTAGCAGACCAGCTAGTACCAACAGACCCAACCCCAATACTGTAAGACCTCAGAGCAACAATGGGAACCGACCCAGTTCTGGGGGTAATAACGGAAATAGACCCGCAACCAATAATAATGCAAACAAACCCAGCAATACTAGACCAAGTGAGAACAGACCCAGTAACAATGATAGGGTTGAGAATAGGCCCTCGGGGACAAGCAACAGACCCATTGAACCTTCTATTATGAGCAATTTTGTGGGAACTCTAGGACAAGGAAACGATCGGGATAGTGATAACAATTATCGGCCTACAAGGTAAGATGATACGTATTTATTTTAGTACTTATTCCCAAAATTAAATACTTAAGTTTGTGTAAATTTAATACGATCGTCTTCCTTTCTTTGCTCAGCTATCCCTTTATAATATAAGTGCGCTAAACATACATAAAAACGGGAACGGCGTTACAAATAAACCGTAATTTCAAAAGGCGGAAACGGTGGAGTGGTTAGAATGCCTGACTGTCACGCGGGAAGTCCGCGTTCTATTCTCGGCCGATGTAATTGCTTTTTTCTTATGTTATGAGTCCCCCCTCTTTCATGAGAGAACTTTTTATTAACTTCATAATATTAATTTCAATAGTTACGAAAACAGAGGGGGAGGATACGTGTTTTCTACACAACTTTTCTGCAGTGTGCTTCATGATATCTTATGTAAAAATTCGAAAATAACATTTTTGAATTTCTTATTCCTAATCTTTTATAGTAAAATGGTTCACACCACATAGCCTAAAAACAATTTTTTGAGACTCCGCTTTAATTACCTTTTTCTTAATATTGTTTAAGGGCTAGTCGTTGGAAAATTTGCAGGACAATTATCATTTATTACCAACCGAAATTTCAATTTTCTACATGTTTTACGTTCCGTTTTTTTTTTATTAATTATTTCTTTTAATAAATATTACAGAGCAGAAAACGAGAAAAATCAAAATGTTTTTGTCTTCTATTAATGTCTTTTTAATAAACTTTTTATAAACTATTTATGTGATACTCGCATTCTTCCGCAATAACAACGACTCTTATTTAGATTTATCCTGGAAGATATTTTTAACATAAATATTTCTAAGAAATTCGTTATTAAAAATCCTTGGAAATATTATAATACGTTTGCCGGGTTTAATTTGAATTCATCAACCTTGTTTATGGGCCATATTTAACCAAAGCACTCTTTGACAGTCTAGTAAGTGAATCTATAATTATTTACTTACTGTATTATTTAAATTATAAACAAAAATGTATCTGTAAAGACCCTAAACCATTTCTATTAATATATTTTTGAAACATTATTTATGTTATAATCGTAAAATGAACAAATAGCTTTGTTTTATATGTTAGGCATTTTCTTCTATTTGCATTAAGTCGTAAAACAAAAAATGTGTCTAACAATGTAATTATTAACAAATGAAGACTAAAATAGGTAATGAATCGCAGCGCACACTATTCGCTGCAAACAGAAGTTAATAATGATTTCTAGTGTCCGACCGAAACTGGTTTTTACGACCGAAACGGTAACGGTCTCAGTTTCGGCCGAAACCGAAACCGGACCTCCTTATAAGGATCATGTTTTGAGAGAAAAATAAAGAAAACGTTATTATAATCAGTCAGTTTTATTTTTTTATCTTTAAATCACACAGCTCTGTAGTCTTTGACATTTTCACTTATTGATAATCAAATCAAAATCAACATAACAACCCCTCATTTAAGGAAATACTTTAATTGCGCCTTAAAAATACTTAAAATAGGTGAGATGTTTATTTGAGTAAGTATAGTAGACTAGACTCATTCTTCTTTTGAAGATGCGAAATGTCTACTAATCTACTTCGCTTGGATGGAATTTAACGCGCCGAACATGACCGAGCAGAGCGCGAAAACTCCCGAACGCAGTTTCGGTTTCGGTCGTAGTTTCGGCAGGTTTGCCGCCGAAACCGAAACTCGTTTTTTTGCCGAAACCGAAACCGAACTTTCGGTCGGACACTAATGATTTCTGATTGGTCTGCCATTGTATGCAGCAATAGCAGAGCGATTGGTCAATTATTTAAATTTTTGATTATTCAAAAACCAAGCATCTTACCAAAAAAATAAGAACGAAAAAATCTTAGAATTTTACAAACAATAACGTATTGCTTATTAATTAATTAACCTTAATAACAAAAATACAATCCTCATTGCAGTTCGCGCCCAATTTTAAACGACGTCCCCCCATCGCAAACATTACCTCTGTACTCGTTCACAGATTTCAACAAATCTTCATCCAATAGGTAATAACGACAAAAATAAAATAATGTGTCTATTTTTAATCGTAAAATGTTAATTAAAACTAAAAACCGTTTCAGTTTTAGCAGTAATAACAATAACAATAATAATAGAAATAACAATAGACCCGCACAAAACGTTCAGACGAATTACCCTCAAACAGCAACAACGACAGAAAAATATTTCGGCGAGATCAGTAGGTAAATACCCTGTATAAAACGTTAGGTACAATAGAATAATAAAAGTACATGTAGTAAGGGTATTTAGGGTTAAAGGAATCTAGTAAACGTACGCGGTGTATATTTCTAATAAGGGTAGGGGGTTGGGAGTATGATGGGAAGTAGTCTGATTGTGAATTACTTTAGAAAATATTTTAAAACAACATTCCAGTATTCGTCAAAAATGTTTATAAAACTACCAGTACTTGCATGCATCCTGTATGAGTATTCATCAGGCATAAAGGGTAGTTTTTAAGAGAATATAGTGTAATAGAAATAATTGTTAAATAGAGAAATGGGTTTGTTTAACTAACAAAAAATCGGTTCAAAATCAACAGAAATGTTTAGAAAATTTTCTGAAAAAACTACCACTAACAGCATGAAGATTAATAATCGCCGAAAAAACTGGGGTAGATATGATAGTATTAGTGGTGTTAAACTTAATACTAAATGTAGTGATTTGTAAATAAAATATGCACCTAATTGGAGTAAAATTAAAAGGTAATATTTTGGCGGTAATTTTGCAACACCCTGTAGTAAATATATACTGCCGTAGCCTTGGTAATTGTTGGTTTCCTTTACTATTTTATGTATCGCCTATGTAATGTTAAGTGTATGTGTGTCAAACAGAAAAATTAATATTTATTATAAATATGTAACCAATTTAAAATACAGTTTACGCGACATTAATATGAAAAGTGAAAGTTTCTAGATTTACTGATAACTATTTGACCTACAGAAAATTAAAGTTTCACGACACAAATTTATGTATTTCACACAATTATGGCGGGTGTTAAAAGGACACATCAAAGGCATGTACCCTGCTCTGTTTTTTTTTTTTAACCATTTAGTGCATTAGTGATATTTTTTTATTACCCACTACAGATAATCAATCTTAAATTAACGAAAAAAAAAATATTACTGCTGTCATTCCCTCGCCGGGAATCGAACGCGAGCCCCAAATTTTAAGCACCAGTACTCTACCACTAAGCTACGAGGAGTTAACAGCAGTGACACCCACGATACATACAGTAAATTAGACTTTTCATGTAAACCGATCACATATTTACAAAGCCCTCGAAATTAGTCGTATTTGTATTGTCACGTCTCATGTGTGACCTTAAACCCTCAATATAAAATAAACTTCAATTTCTGTTTGGCACACACACCCTCAGTTAATGCATCGTAGGTAGTAATATTTTATTTTCTGCAATATAGTACTACAAACCGTCGCCCGGAAATAAGCCTGAATAACAACGAAGAAGATTTTTTCCCAGGCGATTTCAACCCCTCTCGACGACCAATCGTAACAACCCTTATCGAAAACACGAACGATAACGTGTGTGGTATCGTCGCCCAACAACCTCGGCCCCTTATCACGTATGGCAAGGAAACTTCAGAAGGTAAAATTAAAAAGTATCTAACTATCTCTTTACTACACATATACCTAACAGTAAATTTCATTCGAAGGTTTTATTATTTATTAAGTGGGTATATAATTATGAAAGCATTAAATTATGCCAAACATAAAAAAAAGTATCAAATATCAGTAGGTATGTATTTTTTTTTCCAAAAATTCATTATTAAACCAATCAATTTTAAGAATATTTATCTAAAATGAAGGGCATGGATAGAATTTGCTAACACTCCTACTCTTCCCGTCATAAAATATATTGGCAGCTATTATAATAACTATAAACTGAAAATCCCGAAGTCCTTCGCATTTTAATAATACCATAATTATTCGAGACTGTTAAAAAGGAATACATAAACCAAAGAAAGACTCAAATTAGTTACTGCAAAACTTGTTCACTGCCAAGCCAAGACGTGTTTCGCCCACTTCAACACGAGAGTGAAACACATGTCCGAAGGAGCAAGTCTCCTCCTTGGTTTTCATTATGAAAAGGAGATTCACATATAGATGTATGCATACAAAAATTATTTTTTTAAGTGGACACGTGTTTCGCCCATGTATGCAGCAATTATGAATGCGGGACGAAACACGTGTCCACAATGAACAGGTTTTGCGGTAACTAGAGTGAGTCCTCTCTTTGGTTTATTTACGAAGACCACAGCTATCTTTTTTTAAAAACGAACACTTGTTTCGCCCACGTATGTGTTCATTATCAACCCAGGATAATGCAGATATTGTTAGTGGGCGAAACACGTGTCCGCAATGAACAGGTTTTGTGACAACTAGGGTGAGTCGTCTCTTTGGTTTATTTAAGGACACTCACAGCTATCTTTTTAAAAACGAAAATCCACACATACACTATATGAATGTGGGATAATGCGCACATTATAAGTGGACGAAACACGTGTCCGTAATGAACAGGTTTTGTGGTATCTAGTGTGAGTCTTCCCCTTAGTTTATTTATTGAAAGGAATAATAATAAACCAAAGAGAGGACATCCCACTTGCCACAAAATCTGCTCATAGGGACACGTGTTTCGCCCACGCATATGTTCATTATCAACCCGGGATGATAATGCTGATACAATAAGTGGGCGAAACACGTGTTCGCAATGAACAGGTTTTGTGGCAACTGGGGTGAGTTCTCTCTTTTTTGTTGTAATTAAGGAAAGGAAGGGAAATTCACTGCTATCTTTTTAAAAAAACGGACACGTGTTCCACCCATTTTTTTACTGAGAACTTTATCAACGCGAGACTATGTCTTGGCCCATTATATGTGTACGTAGAACAGATATCTGGCGTAGCATTCCAAATTTATATTGGCATTTAATATAATGTACATTTTTAAAACTTGCCCTCCCAATATGTTCTGTTTCAATTGATGTTATTACCCTACGGGGTAAATTGGGAGGGGCTAAAGTATTTCAAGCTGTTTAGCCCACAGTAAATGGATAAATTTTGTCCAATAGATGTGCAGCAAAATGGTTCAGGCAAAGGACCAAGAAAGACTGATAATAGTAAGTATTATATTTATAACGTGTGAATATATTTTTTGCAAAATATATAATAAATGACTTCTAAACGCTTCTGTTTTGAAGCGACAAAAAGGACTTCCTTAATAGTGCATCTCATTGTCAGTGGCGTGCCTATGTAGAAGACAGTCTACTGCGCCTACTTAATTGTTTATAATCTTGTTTAATTAATTGAACAATTAAAATTAATTTTCAAAAATTTTAAACGACTGACGAATGAAATAATTTATTAAAACCGTAACTGAGAAAATATAATATTTACAGGTATTCCATACGAAGTAAACAAGGCAGCGAAGTCGGGAAATACCCCTTGGAATATAAATAGATGATAATATAAAATATAATTCCAGCCACCCGCTATCAAATGTTAAAAACTGGTGATAATTATTTATTTGCAGGTCAATGGCCGTGGCACACAGCTCTGTACAGGTCAAAGGGCACGGATCTGCAGTATATTTGTGGCGGAACTTTAATATCAAGAAGACACGTCTTAACAGCGGCGCACTGCGTTACAAAACTCCAAACTAACAAGGCAATTAATCCCGAATTACTCCAAGTTTACCTGGGTAGGTCCCACAGTCTCTTACTTTATGTAGCGTCATCTAGCGAATACTACGGAACTAACGTCATTATTTTTTCTTTCACCGGGAAAAAGAATTCGAAAAAAATATCATTAGTTTTGTCCATCTTTATAGGTAAATACAGTTTGAGAAAATTGAATCCCGGAGTCCAGAGTATGATAGTGGAAAGAGTCCTGGTACATCCCGAATATAACGCGACGGTATTCCACAACGACATCGCAATACTCAAACTAACGCAAAAGGCCACCGTTACCGACTACGTAAGACCCGTGTGTTTATGGGACGAGGAAATTAGTCTCAATTCCGTAGTTGAAAGACTTGGTAAGTAACCATAGCGGTTGCTGACTAAACAAAGTGCGCACCCTATAGCAGCGAAATTTGCATATACAGGGTGTATGTTTATAAACGAAACTATTTTTTAGTCTCAGAACCAATAATTAAAAGGAAATTGACTTGCTGATAAATAATCCGTTTGAAACATATAACAATACTGACGACAGTACTTTAAGTACTATTTAATTGGTAGTCATAAATAAACAATAAGAAAGCAATTACTTTAACAGCAAGTTTAACGGGAGATACCGCGTCCTCAAATCAAACTGATATAAGAAATGATTAATTCTAGAATACAAAAACATTCAAATCGTCAAATCCGGTTTGACTTTTTAAATGATTCAGACGAAATACTAAGCACAACATACGTTACTCATATTTCAATGAAAACAAATAGATATAAATCGCGTAACTATTTAAACTCAAAAATTAAAACAAAATAAACTTGTATGTGAGACAGACTGTACACGACAAGGAATTACACTTATATACTTACAATATAACACTCTGTATATACATACACTTGCTTTAAAGTATTGAAAGAAGTATTCGATAAAAGTCCTTTACAGGTAAAAAGTACCTATTCAATACTATTTTTACTTAATACTCATTATTCGCTAATGTTCATTTAGAATACAGGGTGGCCCTAATTGATAAAGCAACTACTTTCATAAATTGGTGCTGCAATAGTATTTTAATAAAAATATTATCGATGAACATATATAACTTAAATTTGTTATCTAAACAGGGACCGTTGTTGGATGGGGCTATGACGATACCGGGGCTCTCACAGAAAACTTAATGCAAGCACAGATGCCAGTTGTGACGACAGAAACCTGCATATTTTCCAATAGGGAATTTTTCTCAAGATTTACATCAAGCAAAACATATTGTGCTGGATTCAGAAATGGTAAGTTACAATAGAAAACGTTTTAAAAAAAAGAAAATATCGGGAAATAGGAGAACGAATAAGAAACGGGGGCGACGAAAGAATAAAAATAATTGAGACTGACAAAAAATAATTACATTAAGCATGTGTATGAAAATTTAAATATTAAACAGGTAAAAATTACAAATTAACACTTAAAAATTGCTTTAATTTTTGACTGTAAAAAGTAAATTTTTGGGATATTTTTGAAATATGTAATCTATAAAAATACGTTCCTGCATGGAAAAATCGGCCCCAAATCCAAAAAAATAAAAACAAACTGTAAAACTCGAGGAAATCATAGAGGAATAATTAATCAGGTTGAGGAAGTGTTTGTTACAGGATTGAATATTTAATTAATTATTATAAGTGATTGATTCGGCAGGTACTTCCGCTTGCACAGGTGACTCCGGTGGGGGAATGTTCTTCCCCAAAGCAGAAAGCGATTCGAGGAACAAAGTCTGGCAAATACGAGGGGTTGTCTCGCTAAGTGCCGCATTGCAAAATGAAAAAACCATCTGTGATACGTCCAATTATATCATATTTACTGATATTGCCAAGTATCTCAGTTGGATTAGAGACGTATTAGAAAGGAGATAGTTGTCTTCAAATTATTATTACAGTAATTAATTAATTAATCAACGTTGGTTGTGCGAGAGACACAACTCAAAAGACCCCTATTATCTCTATAAAATAATAAGAATTCTGTATTTGCATAAGAACAAAATATATATTGCACATACATGGTTTGAAATAAGACAAGTCTTTAATAAACAAAATTTTTCTGTACCGAACTATTAAGGTACTGACTCAGTATCTTTGTAATTTATATCCTACCCTGAGAAAGAACAATTTACCTTTCTCGAAATCTAAATGTAAGTTATGTAAATTAGATTTAAGGTCTTTTATAAGATATGTATTTCAGTAGAATAAGGAACCTTGCCAATTTCACTAATAATATTGTACCAATAAATATTTATATTTAACATCATGTGTTATTTTTTAAACATCTAAACGACTATTAGAAAGACCAGTAGGTATATTAAATATAACAACATTACAATGAGGTACAGGAGAAGCATGCACTTATGAAAATGCATATTACTTGTCCTATTTTATATAAGGTACATTAAGGATATTCAACAGTAAAAACATGGAATAATTGCAATATTTTACTGTATAACACAATCTAAAGAATGGAAGTCAACAATTTAATGAGAATAAACATGTCTACCTTTCAAAATTCTTCGCATTAAAATTTTCTTGCCATTTTCATTGCTCATTCTTTTATTCCACCCATGTCTCTTAATTCTTTTTGATTCACTTGGTCTTGGAAAATGACACCGGATAATAGTACGAAAACTGGTATCAAAAATCCCACCCGGACTAACAACACTTCCCAAAGAATTTCCAAGATAATGGAAAGACTTTGGTATCAAGCAAGTAACATTGCTTTTACTAAAAAAGTAAATGTGTAGAGGTTCAATATGCAAATTACAACATATAGTACTTACTATATGGTAGTTAAAAATGAAGGAACTACTTTAAAAAGAGCCATTTCTTATAAAGAAGAGGAAATGCAGCACAAAAACTACAACAATAAACACAACAATAGATTAAGTTAGGTTAGAATAAGGCAAAATTATTTAAGGTTAGGATGCTAAAGAACCATAGATATATTGTAAGTGGCACACTTTAACTACAAAATATAAACAAAAAATAGTGTTATTTTTTATAAACTCTTTACTGAACAACTAAAATGAACCGTTATTTAAAATATAAATAAAATAGAATATCTTACAATAAGTTCGTTTTTTCAATTTTTTTCTAAAATAGTTCATATATCTTCATGTAGGCCAAATGAACCAAAATATTATTATAAGAGTAGTCTAACCTACAAAATATTTAAATTACAAAGTCTATGCTCACAAATGATTATAAAGAAAAATGAGCATGAAGAGGGCAAAAAGTCCTTATAAAAATAGTGACTTAGAGTCGAATAAAAAAAGGATCAAATCATCCAATCACAGTTTTCCATTGGAAAGGTACAAATATGAACTTAACAAATTTCTCCAAGATTATGGAGGAATATCAAAAACCGACGACTTTTGGAAATTTTTTGAAAAATATCAAGCCATTCAGTTATCAAAGAAAAGTTCAACAACATATTTTGACAAGACCCTGTTAATAAATCAATCGTTCGTTTCTAAAACCAGCAGGTTGTACGACAAAATACCTACATTAGATCGTCATGGTGAAAGAATGAATATTCCTTACAATACATTTAAAGACTTCCTACAAACGGTTCTTATATATCAAGACTTTCAACAGAAAACTAAAATGGCGAAATTAAAGAAACTTCGCCAATCGCAACGAGATCTGCCCATTGCCCAATTTAAGGATGAAATAATTTCGAGGCTGAAAGAGTCACGTATTTTACTCATTGCAGGTGATACAGGATGTGGAAAATCCACACAAGTACCCCAATACGTTTTGGAAGCGGGTTATAACAAGACAGTCTGCACTCAACCTAGACGTATAGCCTGCGTATCACTTGCCAAAAGAGTAGCTTATGAAACCCTCACAGATTTTAAAAGCACCGTGGGTTATCAGATAAGATTCGAAAAGAGCAAAAGAGCAGATACAGCCATTATCTTTATGACAGAGGGTCTTTTATTAAGGCAAGCGGCAGAAGAAGAAACAATAAATCAGTACGACGTTATTATATTGGACGAAATACATGAGAGACATCTGTATGGGGATTTTCTGATTGGAATAATGAAGTGCCTGGTACATAAAAAAGACAACTTCAAGTTGGTGCTAATGTCCGCAACGATTAATATCGATTTATTTTCAAATTATTTTAAAAATGAAAACATACAAATAGTTCAAGTACCCGGGCGATTATTTCCTATCGAAATTCAATATAAACCGATAAAGAAGGACCCTTACGAGCGCAAAGCAAGCAAGTTTGATTGCATCCCTTACCTCGAAATTATACAGATGATTGACGCAAAGTATCCACCCAATGAGAAAGGGGATTTGCTCGTGTTCCTCAACGGCTTTGCAGAAATATCCGCCCTGGCAGACGCCGTAACCGAATATAGTAAATTCAAGAAAAACTGGATCGTTCTGCAACTACACAGCACCCTCTCTTTAGAAGAGCAGGACAAAGTCTTCGATTATCCTCCAGAAGGCGTTAGGAAATGTATCATTTCCACAAACATTGCCGAAACATCGGTGACTATAGACGGCATAAGATTCGTCATCGATTCAGGGAAAGTCAACAGAATGACCTATCACACCGTCGGTGGAATAAACAAACTGACAGAAACGAACATTTCCCAAGATAGTGCAAAGCAAAGGGCAGGAAGAGCGGGGAGAACGGGACCTGGCATATGCTTTCGAATGTATTCAGAAGAAGATTTTAAAAACTTTGACGCCTTTACCACCGCAGAAATACATCTCGTCCCTCTCGAATCCTTACTTTTACATATGATATCTTTAGGATTGACAGACATAGTGAACTTCCCCTTTTTAGAAAAACCCAGTGAAAGGGTCATCGAAGAAAGTTTAGAACGACTCAAGTTTTATGGTGCCCTCCAACTAGACGAGCAGTATTTAGTCCTCACCCCACTCGGGGAAGCTCTTAGCAAATTACCCGTCGATCTCACAATAGGAAAAATGCTCATAATGTCCACTGTTTTTGGGAACGTCAACGCCGTCTTAGCCCTGGCAGCACTACTAAGTGTGCAAAGTCCCTTTACACAATCCGCTTATAAGAATATCGACACTTTAGAACTACGGAAACCTCTGGAATCAACCCACGGTGATTCAGTGACCTTCTTGAACCTCTACAAGGAATGGCTGTCGGTAAAATATGAAACAACTCCCGCTTCCTCTTCCGGTTCCTCAACGTTTTCAAAACAAAAAGAAAACTCTCGAATATGGGCCAAAAAACGGGGCTTGGAAGAACAAAGATTCTACGAAGTCACCAAACTCATTCAACAGTTCAAAGACATTTTAGAAGATGCAGATTTGTTACCCAAAGGACTGGATATCGAACTGACCAGCAGTGAGCGTGCCATACGTTACGGAGAACTAAAGCATCTGAAGACTTTGAGAAGGCAACTAAAGGAAGAGTCCAAAAGCAGTCGCAAGAAACAACTCAAATATGACACGTTTATTTTTGAAGGGGACATAGACAGAAAAGAAGCGCAAAAAGTAGACATAAGAGACGTGGAGTTTAGAATTGCGAACGACTTCAAAAAATTGCAAAAATTATTAGATGAAACGTCTCCGGACAGTGCAAGGGAACTCTTCATGTTAAAACTTATTCTTACAGGTGGATTATATCCATCTGTAGCCGTGGAAGATGAATTTAATTCGTCAAAAAGTGTTGCAGAGCGTCTGTATCATACAAAAAGTAAGAATTTCGTTTTTCTACGACCCTTGAGTTGTTTTACTACGAATCCTGAAGTTCTCGAACTCCATGCGGACGATGTAGAGGTGCCTCCGCCAGGCTATTTTAGTAAAAGACCTCTCAGTCGTAAACACCAATTATTGATCTTCCAATCGATTTTGGAAACCAAAAAAGTATATTTGGTCAACGTAACTAGAATGCCTTGCGTTCAAACGCTAATGCTGTTTGCAAAAACTATTGCAGTGAATGCTACACTAAGTAAATTTGTTTTTGACGAATTTCTGCTCATAGACATTCCATACTTTGGTCAAGGAAAGACTCTGCTATTAAGAGCCATCGCCCTCAGAAAAATATGGAAAGCGAAGTTGGAGGAAAAACTGAAAGATCCAAATGCGGTTTCGAGACAAAATAACGAAGAGATTTTTTATTTTATGGAAGACCTTGTCAAGTTTATAAACACCGATGTGTGTTACAATGTTAAAAGACTATTACCGGCTGATCTGAAGATGATTTATACGCATGAAACGGAGTTTCCCGATTTCGAAAAAATGAAACTAAAAAACCCATTCGATCCCGATTTTTCTATTGCTGTAAATCAAAACTATGGGGGTTTACAGGTCACAGAAAATGTTGTCTACGATTGTTTAGTTCAAGAAGAATGGGCAGTGACCATGGAAGAAGAAATTTCTGGAACACCCTTCGAGTGTCCATATTGTAAAAAAAGCAAATATGGATACTCTGTTTACAGAATAATACAACACGAAAAGTTTTGTAGCGAAAAAGAAAAAGGCAATGAGAATGTGGATAGGAGGAGTGACAAGAAAGTGGGAGAGATCAAACCGAATTCGAGACAATTTTATTGCGAAAATTGCAAAACGAATCTCATATTGACGCCTACCGAAATTTTAAGACATAAAAGAAGCTGCAAAAGCAGTAGTATGTAAATAAAATTGTAACAAGGTAAACCAACTTAATTTATGCATAAAATGTATAGTTTTGTTATTGTTATTAGGAATAAATTTTAATATTGTTTTCTTTTTAATTCAAGGGATTGACGGTTGCCTTTCTTCACAACATCCACTGCTTCTCTTTTATCACTCACGGCAAGCACGAGCCGCCACTGATTTATTGTGGCTGCAATATTTGCAGCGATATCTGTGGCAGCATAATAACAAATATGAACCAATGTCACTTATAGTAAGGGATAGGAGGTATTGTTAGTGCTTATTTCGCAGAAAATTGTGAAAAATGGCCTTAAAATTTGAGTTTCAGTGTACTTCAATGAACAGTGTTATGTTCATTCAAGCGAACAAAGATGCCTTAACTTATGATGATAAAGTCAAAATCAAAGAATTAGGTAGACCAATGCCGCAATTAAATCTTCAGATAAGTGCCATCAGCCGAAACAAACCGTTTAAGAGACAATTTAATGTTAACATGTACTCAAAAGCAGAATGGATGTGCGGTTGTGAAGTAAACAACGCACTATTCTGTTTCCCATGCCTACTGTTTACTGGAGATAAAGTATGGACAGTGAATGGTGTTAAAGACCTTAGTCATTTAAGTCAGTACATTAGGAGACACGAAGTGGCAAAGAGCCACATTTCGAATTCGGTTAGTCTAGCACTTTTTGGCAAAATAAACATCGGACAACAATTAGATCCTGAACATTTGACTTATATACAGAAGCATAATGAAAAGGTCACGAAGAATCGTTATGTCTTGTCCCGTATTATAGACTGTATTAAATTTTGCGGGGCTTTCGAGCTCGCTCTTCGGGAACACAACGATAATATTTTTCGTGGCGTTATAAATTTCAGCGCAGACCTCGACGATGCTCTTCGGGGGCATTTGGAACATGCCACAATATTTAAAGAGACCTCCAATCCCATGGACATACAGAACGATCTCCTGAAATGCATGCTGGAAGTATGCAGAAATTCAATAATATCTGAAGTAAATCAATCAAATTTTTTGGCTATTATGGTTGAGGAGGCAGTGAGTACAGGTTCAAACAATCAAATGGTTCTTATTCTGCGTTATATACATGAAGGGAATCCTGTTGAAAGATTTTGGGGATTCATAAACCCAGAAAAGCATAATGCACAGTCTTTAGCTGATTGCATTTGTTCAATAATTGACCCACTATTAGAGGGAAAGTGCAATAAATTGATTGCCCAAATTTATGATGGTGCAGCTGTTATGAGTGGGAAGGCTAACAAATGTGGTGTCCATACGATAATTAAAGAAAAATATCCTTTGGCTTATTTTGTACATAATTATTCGCATCAGCTGGACTTGATTATGTCCCAAGCAGTGTCACAAAATGCACAAGTCCATATTTTCTTTGCTAATGTGGATGATATTATAAATTTCTTATCAAACTCTGAAATTCTAGATGTGCTGAAAGAAGTGGTGGGAAACATAGTACAGTCCTGGAACTTTAAAGCCAAAACTGTCGCCGTCAATATTATTTATCAGTATAGAATATCTTTGATTGAATGCATGCAACAGATTCAGCAACGCTTTTCAAACGCAAAAGTTATAATTCAAGCAAGTGCCATAGAGCGGTTGCTCTTTGACAAGGAATTTTTGGTTTGGTTGAACATTTTCCAAGCTTTAATGCCGCATATTGACCTTTTGCATAGTGAATTGGAAACAAAAAGGTCTGATACAATGATCAAAGGTGCTATCAAGGCATTCGTAGATAATATAACGAGTGTTAAAAAAAGTACTCAGTTAGTAATTGAAAGAGGCGAAGAAATGTACAGAGACGAGGCGGCAATTGTTCCCCCAAAACGAAAACGAACTTTCGAAGATCATCAACATGCATTAGCAGAGGAAGTTTGTGATGTAATAATAGAAGCAGCAAACACTCGATTTGAGTACACCAATCACTTGGTTGCCTTAACGTTATTTTCTTCAGAGCACTTTAATAATTATGCAAAAGTGTTTCCAGATAAGGCGCTTAAAATTACAATTACCGCTTATCCAGTGTTTGAGAAAGAACGATTAATAAACGAACTATCTGTAATGTATACGAGGTCCGAATTTCGAAATATCAATGGAGCCGTTGCCTTCCTAAACATGATAAAGGCAAATAATTTAACGCAAACGTTCCAAGAAATTGTAAAATTGCTGGAAATAATAATAACAACCCCGATGTCAACGGTCGAGGATGAAAAAAATTTATCGACTTTGAAACGCGTCAAAAACTTTTTAAAAAATTCGATGAGCGATGATACGTTGTCGGCACTTTGTATGCTATCGGTAGAGAATTCCTTAATAAAAAGTGATATTACTTTTAATGAGAAAGTTATTGAAATGTTCGCATATTTGGATCAACAACGTGGTGATTTGATCTACATTAAATAAAGCTATTAAATGACTGAAGTGTTACAATTCGTTTAAACTTTTCTGTATAGCAGATACATTAAACATTTATGCCTAAAAAAGACATTTGGAAGTGGGCAGTTGTATTTATTATACAATGGTAAGTTTATTTTAGGAATTTGTTCTTATTTTATTTCCTTACAATATTTACGCGCCGCCACTGTTTAATAAAGTTTTACGCCTTTTATAGTTAGATACCGGTTTATGGTAGGTCTATGGGTAGATTTTTTTCTCTCTTATTGGATAAACGTATGCATGTGTAGTTTTGTGGTTGTTTCTCATTTTCATACGTTTTTATTGCCAATAAACATTTCTTAATTTAAATCAAATACCGAATTATGTAACAATTTAAAATTTTGGCGTCCCAATAATTTTCATAGATATTTAGACATAGATAGTGCACTGTGTAAAAGATGAGTATAGCGATTACTTCCTGTCTCTTTCTACTTAGACTAGTTCAGGTATTTAATAATTCTTTTTAAATAAATGGTTAGTCACTGTTAACATTTTGGACAATTTACTCTTGTTGAATTAAATTTGCTAAAAATGGAGTTGACACCTTCATGAAGTTGTTTCGAATATTGCAATGCTGTTAATATTACTTAACAATAAGATGAAAAAAAAAATGGTAAAGAGAGAGCAAATGTGCCTCCAAATTCTGTGGATTCTGTATCGTTTTTAATCTCTATGTTTATTTATGATGGATTGCGCTGTCTAATTGTCAATGTCTTTGAATAAGTTTTATACGACGCAAGCGCAAAAGTATTGCACAGGGATTAAAATGACAACTAGACTACTGGTGGTCAAAAATCGAATTAAATAGCAGTACTTCGCCGATCATGTTGGGTGCAGTAGGACGTGCGGCATCCAGCCTTTTGGCTGGAAAAAGTGTTGAAAAATTAAGCTCAGAATCCCTAAAAGCCCTTTGCGCCTTCACAGGAAACCGTAAGTACACGATCATCAATTTTAATTCGCGAACCATCATTAAATAACGATTGTTGATGATCATGTAACATCTACCTCATACAGGTCAAACTTTCAAAGTCAAAAGCTCTGGATTTGTATATCATTCGTGTTCAGAATTCATTTAATTCGTTAAAATAAGACATTGATGTGCAATTTATGGCGAATTGAATGTTTTTTAATGGAAAGATGTTGACTTAATTGAGGTTATTACATAACCGTCGGTGAATATGTGAAGGCTGCCATCTTGATTTTACATAACCAATGCGATTGTTACAATAATGAAAAAGTGCGATTGTCACAATAATAAAAATACGATTGTTGGAATAATGGCAATTGTTACAATAATGAACAAATGCCATGTGGAAACATTTTCGATCATAAAAAGTAAATTTGAAAATCACTCACCCTTTCAGGAAGGGATTATGCTGCAGCTGCATCCGGGAAAACAGCCTCCGGCAGAATCGTCGCTGTTATCGGTGCCGTTGTGGACGTCCAATTCGACGATAATTTACCACCAATTCTCAATGCTCTTGAAGTACAAAATAGGTCACCAAGATTGGTGTTGGAAGTAAGTAAACTCACTTATTAACAGCAAACTCACTTAATAACATAACACACCACATGATTTAAGATGAAAACACTTTATCACATAACAATCACTTGTTTATTCCAAAATCACTTGAAATTTATATTTCACCCTCAATATGAGTCGAGTATTGATTTTGATGTAACCTGTAAATGAATATTTATTGACAGATTGCCCAACATTTGGGTGAAAATACCGTACGTACTATTGCTATGGATGGTACTGAAGGTTTGGTTCGTGGTCAAGAGGTTTTGGACACTGGCTATCCCATCCGTATCCCTGTAGGTGCTGAAACTTTAGGCCGTATCATCAATGTCATTGGTGAGCCTATTGACGAAAGGGGCCCCATTCCAACTGACAAATTGGCCCCAATCCATGCTGAAGCCCCTGAATTCGTAGAGATGAGTGTAGAACAAGAAATTCTCGTAACTGGAATCAAGGTAAATTTTCTTATTACTTTATTTTAATGTTCACAGAAATTACTTATCTTTGTTTTTTGCAGGTTGTAGATTTGCTTGCCCCCTATGCCAAGGGTGGTAAGATTGGTCTTTTCGGTGGTGCCGGTGTAGGAAAGACTGTATTGATTATGGAACTTATTAACAACGTAGCCAAAGCCCATGGTGGTTACTCAGTGTTTGCTGGAGTAGGAGAAAGGACTAGAGAAGGTAACGACTTGTACCATGAAATGATTGAGTCCGGTGTCATCTCACTGAAGGACAAGACTTCAAAGGTAAATTTTTATCTTCTTTCATGCAACACATTGTGTAATTAATAATTTATGTTTTCCTTGTTAGGTAGCGCTTGTGTACGGTCAGATGAATGAGCCCCCAGGCGCCCGTGCTCGTGTTGCCTTGACAGGTCTCACTGTAGCCGAATATTTCCGTGATCAAGAAGGACAAGATGTGCTACTCTTCATTGACAACATTTTCAGATTCACACAAGCCGGTTCAGAGGTATCTGCTCTGCTGGGGCGTATCCCCTCCGCCGTAGGTTACCAACCCACTTTGGCCACTGATATGGGTAGCATGCAGGAAAGAATTACCACCACCAAGAAGGGTTCCATCACTTCGGTAAGGAATGGTTTTGTTTTTACCTTAATCTAGAACCCTTAACTTTATGTATTGTGTTATTAATGCGTTCTTTCCCTATATTATTAATTATACATTAAATCAGTATTTAATTTATTTTCGCTTTTTATTGTAGGTGCAGGCCATTTATGTACCTGCTGATGACTTGACTGACCCCGCCCCTGCCACCACCTTCGCTCACTTGGACGCTACGACTGTGTTGTCGCGTGCCATTGCAGAATTGGGCATTTACCCTGCAGTCGATCCCCTCGACTCCACCTCCCGTATCATGGATCCCAACATCATAGGTGCGGAGCATTACAACGTTGCCAGAGGCGTTCAAAAAATCCTGCAGGACTACAAATCGCTACAGGTGAGATGAATGACAAATTAAAAAACAATACCATAGTAAAAATTGCCAAGGACAATCCTTGGCTTTGTTAGGTTAATGTGAACAAAAATACTATTATTATTTACAGGATATTATTGCCATCTTGGGTATGGATGAATTGTCTGAAGACGACAAATTGACCGTTGCGCGTGCGCGTAAAATCCAACGTTTCTTATCACAACCTTTCCAAGTCGCCGAAGTTTTCACTGGACATCCTGGAAAACTTGTACCCCTCGAACAGACCATCAGTGTAAGTATAAAAAGATTTTTCTGTCAATAATTTGTAGTTACTACTTCAATTGATGGGGTGACTTTTAATCGGCCAAAAAATAATGCTTTAATACACTTCCAATAGAGGTCTTTAAACTGCAAAAAATTGAGTTAGATAGATAAAAAACAGTAATAACAATTGATTATTACTTGCTTTTCGAGGTTATGCCATGCTTAATTGGATAATAGTCCACCATATTAAATAATATCTCTATTATTGAGGTATAAAATTAGTACTTTCCTGTATTGTTATTGTTGAATGGCTTCACTGCCCTGCATCCACTCTCCTTTTTCTTGTTTGATATAATTGAGTACTTATTGTTTTCGTTTCCGTATAGGGATTCAAGAAAATTTTAGCGGGTGAATATGATAATCTCCCCGAAGTGGCGTTCTACATGGTGGGACCTATTGAGGAGGTTGTAGCAAAGGCGGAAAAGCTGGCGTCTGAAGCTTAAGAGGCATTTCAAAATATAAAAGAGGTTTTTAAATTAACTTTCAAAGTGTTAATAACATTCAAAAAAGTATATTATTCAAATGAACATTAAAAGGAAACGCGAAATATTTTTCTTTTAAATGCTTTAAATATTCTTGATCATCAATTTTATTCCCTCAGTCTTTTTCGTTCGTTGTTTATCATTGTGGTTTACAAAAACGCCATTGTTGTATAGGTAAATATGTACTATCGTTTTACAATTACATTAAATAAAATAAATAGGTTCTTAGGAAATTTGTTTATCATTTTAACTTTGCCTGTTTTCCCCCGCAGCAGTGATATTTATTGCAAGGGAAAATGTCTGACGCTTTAATAAATTAAATTACCCAATAAATGATACTCGTTGTTTTTAAGGAACTGTTCTAACAATGAGTTTTAATTTTTCGATCATACTTTTTTTCTTTAAAATAAAAACAGAAGTCTAGACTTTCTCCTTTTTACTATGTAACAAAAATCAAATATATATATTTTCTGCAGGGTATAGAATAAAACTTTCAGCCAAACAATATTTTTAAGCTGAAAATGCAAATAAAATTAGTAAAAAGTATTTGACATATTTGTACATACCTCTAACCACACTGGTATTACCTGTTTTGGAATAGTGGCTCCGTTAAATAACAAGAAAAAAAAAGAAAAAAAAAAATACTTCCATAAGAACAGTATATTATAAAAATCTGAAATATTATTTATAATAAAAAAAATATTGGTTACTCTACTAAATTTGTAATTGAATTGGC